GGAGAAGCGTGGAAGGGCGGGAGGTGGAGAAGCGTGGAAGGGCGGGAGGTGGAGAAGCGTGGAAGGGTGGGAGGTGGAGAAGCGTGGAAGGTTGGGGAGAAGACTGCTGCACTTCGGCGCTGACAGGTCTGTGCTTTCAGGAACAGGCCACTGTGACTCACACGCACCCGGAATGCTCATCTTTCCGAGTGAGCGCCCCAAAGCAGCTGGTCAAGTGGACGAACGCCCTTTGTGCCAGCCCGCACTGGAGGCTAGTGGTGTTGCGTGCTTCCTGGGGCCCGTCCAGCTGGACGTCTCCCTGGGCTCTGCCGGGAAGCTCACTAACCGGGAGGGACAGATGAACTGTTCTGGGACTCTGCCCCGCTGGCCACACGCTGGCAGCAGTGGCCCCACGCTGGCCTGAGAACCTGCTTGGCCTTCATGGTGCAACCTGGAATTCGGGGAAAGGTCAGGAGGGTTGAGGATGACACAACCTCAGCCTTTGACCCTGTGGACTTTGAGAACTGCCCGTGGGGGCCCTGAACAGGCCCTGAGCACAGGATGGGTTTTCGCTGGGGACTGGGTCAGTATGTACTCCAGGTTTCAAGGGAGAACCTCTACCAGCTTCGGTGGTGAGCAAGAACATGGCTGATCTGAATCTTTAAAGATAGTGTCTATCTTTTTGTCCATGCAAGGGCAGCATCCAACTCCCCCACACGGTTCCAGTTTGCCTAATTCTCTCTAATCCTCAAATCCGAGAGAAAATGGGTTCAAGAGCACTTGTAACACCCTTGCCAAGTTGGGACGATGTTGGGACCTGTTGTCGAGTGGTCTGGTGGGCTGGATTCCCATCACAAAGAGGGCTGGAGCAAATGTGAATGCGGGTAGTGTATTTCCCACGACCCACACAGCCTTGCAGGGGCTGGCCCTCAGTGTGTGTCGGAGGGGTGATTTGTAACAGGGCTAACCGGGGCCCCGCGACAAGCCCGTCACCCATCGGGAGGCAGGGTACTTGCCTTGGAAGAGACGGGGGAGGGCAGGCCGCCCGCATCCTCGTGCACACGCACCGAGCCTTCCTTCACACCATTACCCATTCCAGGCCTGTGGGAGGGTGGGAGACTCGGTCCTGGGGAGCGAAAGGGGTGGTGAGACTTACAAATCAGGGGGCCTCGCCTTCTTACCTCCACCTGTCACCTAGTGAGCTAGCACCCACCCTGGCTTCTGGCTCTGAGGGGGAGGGACAGCAACCAACGCCTCGTCCCTGATGACTTCACCATTCACAAAGCCTTTCCCATGTCTCTGGTACCTCACTTTACAAATGTCTCTGTGGTGGTGGTGTTGTTTACGTTGTTGTTTTTAACCAGTATCACCTCAGAGAGGTTAAGTTGCCCGAGGAGGTCACACAGCAAAAGGCAGATGCTCCCTGCCTACCAGGAAACAACCACCCACAGGACTTTGTCGGCTTGGACAAGCTCTGCCCAAGGAAACTTAATCTTTGTCCTACTATGTGGCTCTAGGCCAAGTTTATGGGGAAGGTCCCAGAGACTTGAGGGTTCTCCCCTGGAAGCAAACCACAGTGAGGATCCCAGGAAGGAACAGGCAGACCAGTGTCCATGAGACATGACTGAGGTACCGCTGTGCACTGTGCTCATCTCAGTTCACACTCCTTAAAACTATCCACTTAATCAACGGGCTTCCCTGTAAACCGATGCAAATGCCACAGTTGCATCCTGATGTAGGCACCCACCCCTACAAGGTGAGAAACGTCTAGAAAGCACTTTCTTGCTCTTTGCCACTCTTTCCTACTAACACGGGCCTTGGCTCGGAGAGGCTGTTTCTCTGATGGAGCAAGAGACAAAATAATAAGTCTGTATACCCTGAGGTGCTGGGGACTCAACCAGGGAAGACGGGTGACAATGGACATGGCGAAGACATGAAGAGCTCCCAAGAGGGAAAGCTGGAACACTCTGAACTACAAGATCCACAGAGCAGTACTGGAATATAACCCAAGGTGTCAGATACCCGAGTCCAGCCTGACATAAATAATTGTATAAAATGAACAGAGGAGAAGAGCAAACCAGAAGAGCCAAATTCCTAGAAGAATCCCAAATAGTTTGTGCAGATGCTCTGCCCTGGAAGAGGGGAGCAGAACCCCTGCCATCAGGGTCTGTGTGTGTGTTGTAGGACAGAATGAGGAGTACCCCAGAACCTCCAAATCTTCTATTCTAAATGGGTTCTGCCATCCACCGCATAAAGACAAAACATACTCCAATGCATAGGAGTAACACCTTCAATAGAAAACTTCTTTAAGGAATTAGTGTGCAATAAAGAGAAAAGAAAGGATATAGTTGCCAAGTCAAGCACCCAAAGTTACCCATATTCTCATGGGCAAATGCCCAGTCAAAGAGGACTGGCCCACAGCAGGGCTGTTGAAGCCCGACACAAGCCTAAGGCACCTTCTGGTGGGGACCCATAGGAAAGGGGCAGAGGGGCCAGGCAAGTCTGGGAGGGAAAGAGCAAAATCAGAATGTAAGATAAAGGCTTCCACTGTCAGTCTCCCCCCGGGCCTCTTGCCCACACCTTTGTGTCTTTTAAGTGTCTCCTTCCATGCCCCCCAAGACCTGGTACAAGGCCAAGCAGAAAAGCAAGAGTGGCTGATTCTGCCCGTGTCTGCTCCATGTCTTCTGTTTATCTCTCCATCTCTCTCCACTTCTTCCTCCTTCTCAGTCCTCTTCCCAGCCATTTTTAGCTTCTCCCTGCCCAGCTTCATCCTTCCTTGGGTGAGGCAGAGAACCTAAAACATTCCCTTCTAGGCCTTTCACACTGTTACGCAGGTACCAGGACTCCCTTCCAAAGTCCGGGCATGTGGCAGTCATACTGAAGGCATGTGCCCTGGGCACTGTGGTGGGAGGACACCTCACCTCTCTGGTCCGCCAAGCCATGCAGTCTGCTCAAACAAGAGGAAAAACACCAGGCACACCATGATTAAGGGCATCCTACATAGCTCTAGCCAGATCTCCTCAAAATGTCAAGGTTGTCAGAACCAGAAAGTGAGAAGTCAAATTGCAATAGTGTAATTCCCATAGAAAGGGGAGGTTTCAGGTTCCCTACCTCACCTAGAGAGGGGTGGAAGGAGGGGCCTCCCTGGAGGTGCAAGGAGTTAAGTCTCAGCACCATGAATCTGTCTGCAGCCACTGCAGCATTCAATCCCCAGCCAGCGAGCTGACCCAAAGGGCACAGCAGACTTCTCCTGTCACTCGCTGCTCCCCTCAGCAGTGTATTTCAGTAGATCTGCCTGTTCTGCTCCCCACTCTATCTCTGATAAATCCTCTAACACCCTCTCCCTGTACCGCTGGCCAGTACCACAATTCTTGTGTGCAGAAATAAATAAAATAATTTTAAAAAAAAAGGTGGAAGGAGACTTGGAGGAGGCATGTGAAGCAGAGAGAGGTGAAGAAGCTTTGGACTTCCACCAAGGATTTGGGGGACTTGGACAGATACATTTGGAAGAGACATGGGTGAGAAATCTGTGGGGAGGCTGACAGTGGCAGACTTTATCTTGTCTTATATATATTTTTAAAGATTTATTTATTTATTTATACAGAACTGGGGTACAGGCCAGAGATGCGGAGGGTGAGAGGAGTCACCAGAGACAGAGCGGGAGCAGAACAGGCAGATCGAGGAAGTGCACTCCTGAGGGGAGCAGCGGGGCGGGTCAGGAGAGGTCTGCCTTGCCATGTGGATCTCCTCCGAGGCAGGCAGGGATGGAACTCATGCGGAAGTGGCTTAAGCTTCTTAGTGCTGTGCTTTAACCTGCTGCGCCACCAGGGAGGGCCTATCTTATCTTATAATTTTATTTTGCTCTTTCCCATCCAGATGTGCGTGGCCCCTGTTACTCCTTTCCTGTGGTTCCCCAACAGAAGGTGCCTTAGGCTTGAGGCAGGCTTTCAGGCCTCAGTGGTCCTGCTTTGCATCACCCTAGTTTGGTTGGGTATTTACCCATGTGGAGATGAATAACTTGGGTGCTTAATTGGAAACTATCATCCTTTCTTCTTCTTCTTTTTTTTTTTTAATTATGCACTAATTCTGTCAAAGCTGTTTTCTACTGCAGGTCTTATGCACTAAGAGAATGTTTTGTCATTTTGCGGTAGATGGCGGAACCTATTTAGGGCGTGCAATGTGGAGGGTCCTGGGGTGCTCCCCAGACTGCCTGCTAACAGGCTCAGCCCAGAGGAACCTGAGGAGACAAGACTGCAAATGTGAGTGGATTCCTGGGGGTTCAGTGATGGGTATACTAGGGTAGCAATACCTAGCGGGGATATTCAAATACTTCCTCAATAAATCAATAAATTTAATTTTTTAAAAATGAAAAGGGCCATGAAGGAAAAAGTGGGTTAGTCTGAACAGGGTGTTGGCTTAGTTCAGTTCAGTAGTTGTGACAAATGTACAGGATGTAGATTGTTAATAGCAGGGGAACAGGGACATCAGCAGCACTGGAGCAGGTTCCCCCAGTTCGTGCCACAGCAGAAAGCTCTGTATTCATGAGTGCCCCCGTGTCCCCCAAGGTGAAGAGTGTGAGGGGGAGGCACCATTCACAGCCTTGTCCTGGGGCGGGGGCCAGGTGGAGAAACACTTGCTCAGAGTGACACTTCTGCTTCCGGACGATGACACAGAGGGCCTGGCTGGTCTTTCAAGAAGAGGTGAAACCATAAGGTACTTCATAGGCATCGTTTTTGGCAGGTGAAGAGACACAGACCTGTGGTTTTGCTTCAAAACCCACATGTGGCCTTCTCCAAACCCATGTCACTCATAAGCTCAAAGATATATTTATATGAAGTAGCATCTGGGGCTAGGAGCAGGAATGGCACATGGGGTCATTTGTAAAGTAATGCTCTTAAGAATCAGTTTTTGGCAAAAGACGGGGAGAGTTGTGACCCTCTGTGTGCCCCAGGGACCCCAGAGGTACTGATGCTCCCCTGCCATGCATACTTGTTGGGATGTGAGCCCTATAACTCTATATTAAAAAGTGTGCAAGACAATGGAGTTCACAGGCTCAGGTCCAACTGATGGTGATGCGTCTGCCCCAAGGGCCCGGGGTTCAGCCAGGAGCCTGTCTCTTAGAAGTGCTCACATTCTGGACTCCCTGTCTCCCCAGGAAGTTATGTGTGCGCTCTCTTGGTCCTCAGCCTCCTTGGGTGGTGAACACTCATGGCCCTGCATTTCTCCCCCTGGAATCACATGGGAGAATGGGGCTTATGTGAGGGTGTGGTAGGGTCTGGGACTGTTCAGAAAAGAACACACACTAAGACCATGCTAGGCCATGCCCGCGCCCCTCCAACAATGACCTCTGACCCTACCCTGCAGCCACCACCCAGCCCAGAGAGACAGGACTCAGTCAGATTGAAGTCTCCCTAATTTTTGCCCCTCCCCTCTTCAATTCAGGACCAATCAGAGAAAGCAAAACATGTTACTCTTTACACAGGCTGCCCACTCTTTGCTGGCTGCCCCACTTCTCATGCCACGGCTTCCTCTGGCACAGAGCGCCTTCCCTTCTCTAGAAAAGTTTTCCTGTGCCCACCTGCCTACAAGTCTCAGCCAAGCAAAGTGGGTGTTTGATACCCTTGCTCTCGAAAGTTCAGACAAAGGTTTCTTTTCTTATTTGGGTGTCTTTGTTAATTTCTACGAGTAAATGAATAAATGATAGCATTTCATATCATCACCATACAAGCCACAAGGCAGATGCCACTACCCACTGCTGCCATCAGAGCCATGGACGGATGTGAAAATACAGTGAGAAGCTGGTTGTTTGGTGGTCTCTGGGTATCTCCCCACAAGACACTTTATAATTTCTCTGGGAGAGGAAACTGAGCAGACTCCCATGTTGACCAAGAGAGAGAGATCAAGACCACAGGTGACAGGACACACTACACCATGTCTCCGACAGGTATGGCACCCTGGGGAAGACACAATAGTGCTTGGGGGTGTATGTGTGGGAGGCAGTCCTGACAGAGGCACACAGCCCAGTGTAATCTCCAGGAGCTGGATGTACCCCATGAGGAAAATGAGATGGGTAGGCAGAAGATAGGCTGCGATGTCAAGAAAGGTACTGGGGGACAGAGACTGGGG